CACCCCCACCCCCTCCGCTGGCAGATCCATCGTTTCGACACAACAGGTATCTGATGTTAGTTAGTACGACCAGGTCATCGCGCCTGACAGACCCTGCCCGGCTGAGGTTTCGATCCTCAGCCATTTCTAGGATCTGCGCGCAACCAGACAGTTACACGCCGTGGCGGGGGCTGTCGTGGATGGGTCCTCACCTTGCAGACAGTTATGCTTTATTAGTGCGAATATATGCTCGCACCAGTGCTCCGAGTGACAGACTGCATTTGTTCCGAGTAGAAGTTCCGCTACTGGCTGGGTATGCTGAACAAAGAAGTGAACCTCATGCATCTCTCCATCCAAAGCTTTTGGCAATGTCATCAGAACTCATCTTATTCCCCAACGCATCCGTACGTTCAGCTTCGGCTCTTTCGCAGAAAGCTGCACGTCCGTCCAGATCACCGCCTCCGGGCCTAGTAGGGAGTGTGCCGATACTCCCACACGTGTGAAACCAGCCAACAATCCCTTCCCTCTCCCCCTCAGAGCTGGGAAGCAGCTGCTGTTTTCGAAAATAACTTCCCCCACCTTCCCGCAACCATGGCCAGCACGTGCATGCCCAGGATTTTTCTCGACTTTACTTGGATTGTTCGATGCGTCGTTAGTATACACTGCATTCTGTGCAGACAGTTTCACCGAAGATTCCCCCAGCGTTGCGCCTGTAACAGCGGACAATTTTTTTGCAGCCTAGGCTACTTTGAGGTGTTTTTTCTTGCGACCAAAGTTAACTCCGTAGTCATGTTCTGAGCTTTTATGTACTCTGAGTGTGAAACGGCTTTACTCCCAGATTTATGCTCCTCATGATCCAACGAGGGCTTTAGCCCTCTTAGGCCCTATGGCCTGTTGCGAACTCCGTCTTCCAAAAAGGATTATCTTTAGGCATTCTTCAAACTAGCCCACATACATTCTTGATTCAGCGCGCTTTTCCCTGCGATGATACAGCCTATCGAGCTCGGCTTCTCTAAGTGCCATCGCAGTCCTGCTGGTAAAGGTCTCGTCATTTCGCACTGCGCAAAATTCATACACTCTTTTCAACTTAACTGAGGCGATTTCTCCAATGAATACGGATAGGTTTCTTCCGTTTTAAACTTAAACTGTTTGAGAAAATCCCTCTGGCCTTTTCTGAACTGTAAATAATGTGGCGCCTCTTTACACATGAAGAGAGCGGTCTTACTGCTGTCAAAGAATTTTGCAGCTTTGAAGGCTATCTCTACCTCGGCAAAGGTTTCATCTTTCTCAGCTCCTCTGAAAGGACAAGAAATGCGTTCTTTGTGGCGCCTCTCAGGGACGCCTTGAAGTAACAGATTTCGTTTCTGTCGCTCTCGCGGTAAAACCGCTAACTAAACTGCCGAACAAAGACGTTCTGAGTGCTCACTCTTCCCGCTTCTCGCCATCGAATTGCTGCAAGAGCTGAGGCATGTTACTGAAGCTCCTTAAAACGTCATTCAGAAGCCGGACCACTTCCGCCTAACTATCTGTGCCAGTACCTTTGGCATTATATTTCCTGCCCGGACTTCTACTTTCCTCTGAGGGCTGATAACACGCTCGAGTATTTGTCCTTCCTTGCAATCTTCAACATTATCTTCACAGAACCCTGTAGTTCTGCTGCGGATTCCGTTTCCGGCACTAGTCATGGATCCTTAAAAATCACAACTGCACGAGGTTGATAATAAAGAACAAACTTGAAAAACTTCATCTGCTCCAATGTGAAAATATTTCATGGGGAAATCCTTGTGCAGGGCCAAAACTTGCTTCACCGCTTCTTCAACCAAACCAACAGCCGCGTCATCCGTCAAACAAATCACCTGCAGAAGAAATTATTCAAAATAGATTCTAGACACACCAATAGTATGCATGGAAAAAAGTAACGATCTTTCAAACCAACAAGAAACAATCGTCATGCCTGGGGATAGCGTTCTTCCTGTCGATACTTAGCAAACTTTGGGTACTTCAGTATGTATTCCAAATGACCGATCGTTTGCACAAGCGGAATAATGTCCAAATTGTGTGTTTCAAGTGAACGCAGAAAACGTCGCAGGTCTTCCATGGAGTACGCATTCCCAGCTTTCACACTGCTCAGTTTTCCTTCAAATGTAAATCTGGTTTTTATATGTGATTAGCTTAAGCATTGCGCCAAAATTAGGTGAGAAAAAAAAGCGCCAAACAGATAACGGCTGCAGCGCCAGTTGCACTTTTACAACGGACATGAACAACATGAAGCAAATGCCACGGAAACGTTATTTTGAAATTCATAATCAAAGCCATCGGCGGTTTTGAAGTACTGGTAAATGATGAATACAGGGAGCATCGGTCCGAATCCGTTAAATATAAAATCCATTTCTCTGCAGAGGGTTTAGTCGGTACGTCCAAATCACCTTGTCTGCCAAGCTAGGGCGGCTAACCGCCTTCAGTTTGCTTCCGAGGCAACCCACCGCAGCAGTAATCACCTACAGTTTAGCCAGCGAGTAAATGAATTTGGCAAAAGTGCTGGCGAATGTCTCTGCTCCTAAAAGAGAGGGGAGTACAAAGAGTTTTGATTTTCCACTAAGAGTCATGGACAATCACAGAAAGGACATCCACCTGTAAATGGGAACATGTCTTCATATTCTATCATAACACCAGTTGCTCCGATTTCCTTAACAAACGGCACAAGCTTCAGCAAATATCCAATTTTTGGAGCTGCGCCTTTCAAATCCAGATGAAATATGCGATTTGCTGCAAAGATAATACTGTTCAAACACAGCACAATAAACTTTAGATATAATAAAAAACACCGATGCACACCAAGATAGCTGAGCGCGATCATGCGTTTTGTGCAACCCTGTCCACCGAACGCTTGCGCAGTTCCGTCTGGCGGACGCTTTTGCAGCCCTGTCCAGCTGATGCTTGTGCAGTTCCGTTCAGGGGAACCCTGCTGTTAAGTCTCCATTACATTACTGTTTGATAAGTTACATGTCAATTTCGTCACCAAAACTTTACTTTTTGTGATCCGCAAGTTCTTAGTTCTGGCGCAGAAACTTTCACATTTTCGTACGTGAAACCTAGGAGTGCACGAGGGCTCAATTAAGATGTAGGCAGGAGCGCCATTCCGAAATTCCAGCTTCTTAACTTTCACGGTCCCCGAGTTAATTTTGACGCACAAAAATTCCACGTGTCCCTGCGTGAGACATAGGCAAGCGGGTAAGCTGAATTTGAGTTTGCGAGGTCAAATACGGCCAAGGGGCTTCTTTGTAAAATTTTACTCTCTTAGCCTTCCTGGTTCCTGAGTTATTAATTTTAACGCCCAAAATTTGAAGTGTCCCTACGCGCGATCTACGCGAAAGTGAAAACCGGATTTAATTTTACATAATACAGGCGAGGGACATTCTTCTAAAATCTCCGTGCCCTATCTTCGGTGCATCCCCAATCATTAATTTAGGCGCCAAAACCTTCACGTGATTACACATGAGATCTAGGCGCGAATGGAAGCAGAATTTGAGTTTGCGGGATCACATGCAGGTAGCCTATCTCATCCCCCGCCCCTTAAAACTCCAGCTTCTTAGTTTCTCTGGTCGACGGGTTGAAGCTGCCGGATAAAATGCACCTGGTACACACACACACACACACACATCCACACCCGCACACACACACACACACAAACGCACATACATGCACATATAGACAGGGTCTCGACAATGTGCATCCTGTGCAGCTGCTGCAGCATAAAGCGTATAAAAAAAGGATCTTTAAGGAATGCCAATGGTATAAAGTGAAGATGAGTGGAAAAATGAAAATGAAACGGTTGGCAGATGTTGGCTGAAACCGCAGCAAACCACTAAGCAGAACTATTTGTTGGCTCTGTAAGAAAACAGAATTACACACCTCCAGATGCAAAACCACATGTCTCCAGATGAAGCCGTAAAGCGTGAAGTCGATAGCCCAGAGTGATGCCTGATGTAAGAATGTGTGCAGCTACTGTGACGAACAACGAATATGGCAAAACAAAACAATTTACGGATTTAATCCATGCGAAAATCCGCATGAATTGATTTGGATGTTAAACAGGCCTCGGAAAGCTGCACGTGAAAAGAAAAGACCCAAGCCACATGTGGAGTTTCGTAGATACACTAGCCACACAGGTGAACATAAAAAGAACACTGGAAGGGTGCAGCGACGGCAAGAACGCGTATGTATCAGTAAAACAGCAACTGTCCAGTGTATCAACTTGCCACTTAAAAAGAAAGGCTTACGAGGGATGTAATACTTGTACGAAGTCTTTGGGACATTTGAAGCATGGAAAGCCTGCATGCTGTCCGCCAAAGGCATCTCCCGCTTTGCGAAATCCTGAAATAAGTAACAGATTAACGAGCTCTACTGCTGACAGCAGCAGCAGCAGATCCGCTCTGCCAGAGCCATGGGCGTTTCAGTTACGCAAAAAAGCATCACTTCTCTCCATTACGATGCCCATTTTGTAATGATACTTTTTTCGGAAAAGTAAAACTCGAAAGAACACTGGAGGGGCTGCACAATGTACGATTTTCCCCTGAGAAGACTCTTCTTGAATGGCAACAACTGCGTTTCAGGCCAAGCCAACGGTACGAGAAATAAAGTATTTCGCAGCGACCAGACGAAGAAAACAAGCAAACAGATGTGAGAATGCAGCGGCAACTGCGAAAAGCTTGCCACGAATGGGCGAAGGTGCGTAACTGTTAAGCGATAGCTCATCAAAAAGAAAGCACCGAAATAAATCTACATTTTTATAATCTGAATTCAAGGTGCTTTTCCAATGAAATTTTTTGTCATACATGCTAAACCCTGCGCTTTTTTATCAGCGCGCAAATGACCGGAGTTTGCGCCCTTTTCCGCATTACTCACTGGGGATCCCGCTTTCATTCCCGATGAATATGCAGTAGAAATTTATAATTGTAAACCCCTGCTTTTTTGGTGCGCAGTTTGGCCCATAGTGGAGAAGAAAACGCCGCCTTATAAGCAAAAGGAGAAAGAGATAAATAATAAAAAAAGGGACCCCAAACCCCTCCCCCCTTCTATCTCGCCTATCCTTGGATAAGTGGAAGCGCTCAAATATTTCTTTTTCACCGGAATGACCGCGACTGAAAAAGGAAGGGAACGACAAGCAAGCACTCACTGCCAAGAAAGTAGAAATACACTAGCTTCTTTCTAGCTAAGGCGCGTGAGGCAACAGCAGCACACACACACACACACCCACACACACACCAGTGAACTCACCCACTGCTTTATTATTGCTCTCAAAGTGAGAATTTATTTCTCCGAACAGGCAGCTGAACTCAGTGAAGCTGTCGCCTTGCGCACAACATCAGAAGACGTAGCAGACGGTGATTTACGAGAAAAGTTTCGCAAATGCTTGTGCAAGTTAAGCCGACTGGCCTTTCCCAAATCGCAACAAGGCAGATTTGGAAGCGCAGGGAGGGGAGGGGCATCCGCGCGGCACACTTCACCCAACAAACTCGGAGCCTGAAAACGTTATCAACAACGCCTGAGTTACCTGTAATTCTGAGCCATCAAATTCAGGACGTTGCTTACTCGACTGGATACGCTGCGTGCGTAGGCCAGTCTGAAAAACAACTGCACTGTGTAAACGCTTCAAGAAGCTGCGCAAAAAGGCTTAATGCCTCAGAACAATCCAGCGACGGCTGCAAGCAACGTCGTCACACCTCGACAGCAGTCTCATCCTGCACCACTGCTGTGCCGGCTCTGGCTCACAAATAAACTGTAGTTCTGGACGGACTTTCTGAAACTGAGAATAGAACTGACGTGATGATTGATAAGGAAAAGCGCAACTGCGTAAATGACTGTTGCAAGCGAGACGAGTAGCGCCAACCGTCGAATCGACCTTCGAATCATCTTCTGCAACACGCACCCCTCACTTCCAAGCACTACATCCAACAACGAACGAAGCGGATCGCAGCAGCAGCACTGCCGTCAGCCAGAACTTGCCTCTCCTGCAAACAGAACTGATGATGCAGCCGCAGAGTAGCCCTCCCTGCCCTTCCGGGTTCCCAAAATTAACCAAACAAAATGGGGAACGTGCAAAAAAGGCAAGACACAAAATTAAACCGGTCGCACGAACGCACAACCCGACAGAAAGCGCGCA